TGTGTGTGTGTGTGTGTGTATATGTTTATGTATGTATGTATTTATGTGTGTGTGTGTGTGTATATGTTTATGTATGTATGTATTTATTTATGTTTGTGGGTGTGTATATATATATATGTTTATGTATGTATGTATTAATGTGTGGGTGTGTGTATATATATATTTATGTATGTATGTATGCATGTGTGTGTGTATATACGAGTGTATATGTTTATGTATGTATGTATTTTTGTGTGGGTGTGTGTATATATATATTTATGTATGTATGTATTTATGTGTGTGTGTATATATATGTTTATGTATGTATGTATTTATGTGTGTGTGTGTGTGTGTATATATGTTTATGTATGTATGTATGCATGTACATGTATATACGTCTTTTTAATGTTTTTTCTCTGATGTTTGTTAATTATAAAGAGCAAAATCAATAAAATAGTAGTCAAACTAAGGTTCCTTCTAAAAGACTGAAGCTAAATGCAAACATTTGAATGAAGTTTTTTGTAATTTAGGTAACGATCTTCTCCTTAACGAACATTTACAAAGCAGAGTGAAAGTGTGACACAGGCTTCTTACACTCATGTGTTGAGCGGTTCACAAGAAGTCCCTGTGTGACCGTGTCTGTTGAAATGTCCCGCAGCGTCGTGTGGAGCAATCTGTGGTCCCAGGACTGCGACATCTCCACAAAGTGAAGAAAGATTGTATTTCACCTAATCCCTAGCATGTTACTCAACAGCAGCAGACCATATGAACTCCACCACAGCCCCAGTGAAGCAGCTTCCATCTCACAGCTCCTGTTCATTAAAGGTGTTGTCATGACTGAAGTTGAGGAGCTTTTTGGACGTTTGTCTCAAGAGCAGAGAATAAGTGAATATATCAACACACAAACAGCACAATATCTACTCCAAACATGAACTTTTTACCTCTATTTCAATACTTTCGCACTCCATACATGTTCACAACTAGAGGCAGCCCAGTAAAACTCTGTGGTCAGATGCCTGTTTTCTTAATCTTCAGGTTCCCACCACACCTTCAAAAACCTTTTGGTGAGGGTACAAACATAATCAATAACAGTGAATCCTGCCGTGATAGAGAGTCCGCAGTGTAGTACCAGGGACCAAGTGTTTTCCATGGCTTGTTTGACTAATTGAGGGTGATTCATCTACGTGTAACACTTTTCATTTTTCTTTTATTGCTGCTCTTTTAAGGATCCAACTTTCTAATACAATAAATCATTTCTCACAAATATTCATACGCTGTAAGAAATAGACGTTATCTTGGTATTTGGAGGGTATTTTTTGTAAGTGGCAGCCATCTTGGTCATGCTGTGGGGTTAACACACTCAAAAACACTGGCATGGCAGCAAGACACTAACATTAAATACACAATGTATTTGTGATTTTATATTAAATAATAGTATTTTCTTAGACACTGGATGACGCGCAACATTGATATTTACAGCAATGTCTCTGTTGTCCAATAGAGCCACAGACTTCCACTATTGGCTGCTGCAACACCAGCGCAACAAACTGCGTCAGTGCCATCAAGTGAAGCTTAGCAGTCATTACCAAACGGTTGGCTGAAACCAATGGTTATGTATTTGGCCATAATATAGGATGTTATTACTGTACATTCTAGGTCCATTAAATCTCTCATTATTTTTCACCTAAAAACAAGGTGGAAATGTTTGTTATCCCCAGGACTGGTGTACTGGAAGAGGAAGAGAACTGTAGTGCAGAATTAGAAGCGATGGCTCTGACAAGCCTTATGTACATAGAAGAGGGTAGAAGATTACAAAATATGGGTGAAGCTCGATGAAGGAACAATGTTTTCCAAGCAGACAATATGTGACATTTCTTATCTATGACAATGACATGTTAATCGTTGCATATTCATGAGAGAGAACAAGTGCCTAGACCATGTCGTGTTCTAGACCTGTGTCTCTTGTGGTGACCTGTGATTTATGACTCCACCATGCGGCAGAAAACTACACAGTAGGCCTTCTGTAGAGATATTTATTTAAAAAACAGATGTCTCACTCTACCCTTTAATCGGTGTTCTTCTTCTGCTGTCCAAATACCAACACTTTGTTTGCTGTATATTATTTGATGCCTGCAAAATGTCTGCCTTACTGATGATGATGATGACACATTTATTGTTGAAAGCATTAGAAAACATCAAATTTTCCATCATAATACGTACATTTGTTTTTCTTTTCAGGTATCAAAGAATCAACATGGCATGATTATAGATAGATAGATAGATATATACTTTATAATTTGTATGTTACAGCAGCAAAGATATACTTCAGCAAACGAAGTAACAGAGTAAAAATATTAAGTATGAAAAATGCACAATATATACAATAAAATAACAGAGTAGAACATATTAAATATAAGAATATAAGATAAGAAAAGAAAATAACAAAAATACACAGTATATACAATGAAATAGAATAGTGTTAAATGAACTAACTAGGTAAAAAACAGTAGTGCAAAGATCAACCAACAGCAAATAACAACAACAGTGTAGCGGTGTCCAGTCATGTGAAGGATGATCTGGCCAGAGGTGATTTATTATAAAGTCTAATAGCAGAGGGCAGGAATCTTCTTCTGTGTCTGTCCTTGTGACAGCTGAGCTGGATCAGTCTGTTGGAGAAAGTGCTCCGCTGTCCCTGCAGTAGGTGGTGGAGAGGGTGGTCCAATATGGATAATAATTTCTTCAGAGTCCTCCTCTCCACCACCTTATATAGATCATAAGGCAAGCAATTAGTAGCTTTGTGCAAATCAAGTTATAGCAAGACCTAAAGAATGAGTCTGGTGTACTCTCTGTTATGCTCTCTCAATAACAATATCTGCAATATCTAATGTCATAGTTAAAATTAACAATGATTTTTATACAATAATATAAACGAAAATGATCAATGCAGGCCAAACAAACAGTCAATAAATAAATGAATAATGTATAGCCGAGTGACGTATCTTCTCATCATACACGACCTCTGACAGCAGTGAGCCGAGGGGACGTCGCTCTGACGATGTTACCCGACATGTAACGAAGTGTACCGCCACCGGCGGAGCTGCTCGTCTCTATAAACAGGCTTCTCCAGATGCAGCTTTCCACCCGCTCTTTGTCCGCGACTGGCTGACTGACGATGCGTTTCCCTTTAAGGTGATGTCGTACACAATTATACCTCATTTAATCATTCTGTGTAATGTCGGCAGAAACCAGAAACCAGGACTAAACCGGTAACGTTAAAAAAAACCGGTAGGAGAGGTCTAGCATCACCTCATCTCCAAGTGGCTAACAGGAGTCCAGTGTCCTTGCTCGTGTCAACCGCAGCTCTGGTGTCTCTCAGAGGCTGCAGCACGTCTCCGGGACAGACATGTCTTTTCATTTAACCGACGGAGCCGAGGAGACACGGTGAATGCGGCGAGACTGCCCTCTACTCAATTGTCTCCCCGCTCGCGCCGCAATGCTTTGGATGTTTTGGAAAAGACAACGGGCTGTAGCATTCCGCCTACCAGTGGACAACATTTTGTAAAAGGGTGAGTAACAGTATGCGTCTGTTTTGAATGCCAGACGGACGTTTTAACAGCCGCTGTGTGTTGGACCAATCTACCGGGGGGCAGGTGTGAGTCTCGTCAGTCCGGTACGACCCGCCTGGCCCAGCTGCTTCGTACATTGTAATGTTATTCTCCTCACACTCTCTCTCTCTTTTGTATTGTGTCAGTACTTCCAAAGAGGCCAGCCAGCCCCTGTGTGTTACATTCCCTCCACGTCCCCGTCCCCCTCTTGTAAAAGCACTTATGTAACCCTGTGGGATTCCTTTATTTCCCCCCCGGCCCTGTGCAAAGAAAACACGGCCACACTGGCTGCTAGAGGAGCTCCATGTGCACCGACAGAGGAGGAGGCTGAGGAAAGCACAGGCTGTTCACATTCAGGCCCCCAACCGGGAAACACGCAGAGAGCCGCCTGTAACACAGAGAGGGAAGGGCCCTTTACACTTTATTTAAAGGGGGGTTCTGCCCATCTTTTCCTCATAATTGTACTTTTGTTTCTGTCTCCACTTAAAGGCAGCTTGACTGGACACTCTATATTCTCTGTGTAACAACTGGGATCTTGACAAATACAGCTTCGTTTTAGGCCTATAACCAACCAGTGGTGTTTTTATAAACCGCATTAAAAACAGTAATTAATAATCTTCTTTATTGATTGATTATCTGACCTATAAAATGTCAGATTTCAGCTCTCTTTCTCTAGTTTGATTTGCGTCACATTCTCTAGTACACAGGTACGGTCTCCTAACCCGGCAGTAGTTTGACTCTCTGTGGTTGGACAGGATTAGATTATGTAAATAATCTGCTCCAGTACGGTTACAGCATTCTTCTGTTCAGTACCAATCTCTGGGCGGATATTTGCTCGCTCGGTATATTTTTAAAATGGTGCAGTCTCCCTGTGAAAGGACCCAGTGTGTCCCCCTCTTACTCTGGACAAAATGCAACGTTACTGTGAACTTTCACATTAGTATCACTCCACATACTTCCGTGCAACATGTGAGCTCAGCACAGCGGGCGTTACCAGGTGAACACACACGAGTGACTAAAGTCAAAATGTGTCATGTGATGCCATTATGTTTGTGTAATATCTAACTACATGTCAGTCCCGTGTTGGGTGTTCAAACTATACAATAATTCTGTGTACTTCTTTTCTTCCACAGAGCTCTCCCACGTCTCTCCCCCTCTGCCTGGGGGACCAACCATCACAACAACCCCCCCCCTTCCCTTCTCCACTTTTAACCTTATCTAATGATGACATCCCCGGACTCTCCCCCTCTGGTCTCCCCGTCCCCGTGTCCCGCTCCCCCTCCGTCCCTCCCCTCTTCCCCGGTTCCCTCCTCCCCGGCCCCTTCCTCCTCCTCGCTCCCCGCCCCGCCCTCGCTGCCTCCCACGGGGGAGGTGATGGTGCTGGCTCTGGGCCGGAAGAAGCAGAGGGTCCTGATTGCTCTCTCCATCCTGCCCAGCCTCTTCCTGGCCTTTCTGCTCTCCTCCGACCCCCTCATCACCCTGTCGCAGCCCCACCACTGCCACCTGCCGGGGCCCCTGCCATCCCCCGAAGTGCTGAATGCCTCCCTGCCCTGGCAGAAGGGGGAGAGGCCCGGGGACGGCGGGGGCCTGTCCCAGTGTAAGCAATATGTCAACGGCAGCCAGTCTGCGGTGGTGGACTGCGAGGCCGGCTGGGACTACAACGTCACGGAAGGGCTGAGGAACAACATTGTCACTGAGGTACAGCTCCAGCCTGGGATCCTCCTTAATCATGGCCCTGGCCTGGTTCATTGTTTGGGCTTTCTGTGGGAGGGCTACCTTTTTGTTTTTGTTTGTTTATGTATGGATTTAGGGCCTTGAAATGCTGAAACAGTTGTTTCATTTGTATCCCCCATTTATCCACAGGAGGGCCTTGCTGAGCATGCAGCCTCCCTTTTTGCAACCCCTTGCTAAACTTTATTTGCACATACTTTAAACCTATAAATTGGCACTATAAAAAGGTCTTCTCCTGGTGGCTTGTGGAGCCTTGGCTCGTACTAGTTTATAATGCATCGTAGCATTTAATTGACTTGCTTTTTAAGTTCAATTGTGTTATGCTTGTGTGGGGACAGGAGTTGTTGTGAAAACTCCTTTTTGTTGGTGCATTCAAGAAAATTCCAAACGTCAGAGATTCAGAAGAGCCCTGATAACATTTTCCACCAGTTTGATGCAGGTGCTGAATGTGCGTCGTACCTTTTTCTTTGGGGTAGTCATATGAGAATGATGTCACTGAGATTAATCCCAGGACAGTCTGATGCTGTATACACAGCCCTGCTAAGCCACAGCATCACACATGATGAGAAAGAAAAACAATCACAGATCTGTTCATTTTAGGGTGATAGTGTCTCTCATGCACTCAGTCTGTGTCTTCATGTGGTGGGAGCAGGAAGTGAGCTTCCCAGACCTCTGAGGTCTGCTCCTCATCTCTGCTACGGGCAGGAAGCTTACGTCCACCGCTACTAGCGTAACACGCCCAAATCTCCGACTGAACCTTCGATGGTCGAGTGGCATTGTGGGTAACTTAGGCACCAGGTTTTGAGAAGGAAGAACACAATAAGTCTGAGTCAGCTGAATCAATTTCGATAGTTAAAGAAAGTATCCTGCAGTTCTCTTTTTAAGTTTTTCATCAGACCGTGTCTTTGTACCTGCATCACTGTAAACATGTCACTAAGGATCCCTGCTCACAGCCAGATTACCATTGAGATAGAGGGAGACAGTGTACTTAAATGAATGGACATCGAGGTAATCATATCTTAATCTAAAAGGTCTAAAAGCAATTTTTACTTTATGGAATAAAACATAAACAAACATAGGAATGTCTCACCAGTGGGCACTTTAGTAACTGTTTACAAAGCAGGGATTGGACAACTTCAATCATTCATTTTGCGTCTCTGCTCTCAGGATCTGAACTTCTTTAACCTTTCCACTGTAACTTGCTCCTTATCTAATCAGCACACAGGCAGGCCGATGATAGGCTGAAGTGGAACAGTGAGTGTTTTGTCACTTATGATATTCACCTCGTATCAACAACTTCAGGTGGTTTCTTCGCCTCTTATGCTCATAACTACACAATTGATGTTCAGGCCGGTCACTCTGCGGCCTGTGTGTCTGCTTTCATTCCTGGTGTCCGCTGATGTGGGAGCCACACCCAGCCCTTCGGTCCGTGGCATTAGGGCGGCTCGCTGGTAATCCACCCACATCACTGCAGCGATATGTAAACGCTGCCGAGGGAGGCATTTAGCAGGAGCTTAAAGACATACAGGAGGTAGCGGCCGTTCAGTCTCGTCCACATACCGAGAGTCACGCGGACGGACACGTTTTGGCTCTTTTTAAAATCAGGTTTAACTCAGAACGTATTTATTTTTTTTTGCTGACAGGATGATCTGTTCCTCCAGCACCGCTTCGCTTTGCTGAGCAGGAAGCAGGAAGGCCCCTGATCAATAAACACTGTGTCACTTCACTGGAGGCAAACTCCACTTAACATCTGAATCTATGGGCTTATGCACAGACACTTCCTGTCAGTACGCTGATAATACAGCAGGAGGTTACGTACATTTGTCAATCCTCAATGTCATAGTACTTATGTAGCAGTAAGTAATTAATATATATATATAAAAAAAGTGAAATATCACATGGTCATAAGTATTCAGACCCTTTGCTCAGTATTGAGTAGAAGCACCCTTTTGAGCTAGTACAGCCAAGAGTCTTCTTGGGAATGATGCAACAAGTTTTTCACACCTGGATTTGGGGATCCTCTGCCATTCTTCCTTGCAGATCCTCTCCAGTTCCGTCAGGTTGGATGGTGAACGTTGGTGGACAGCCATTTTCAGGTCTCTCCAGATGCTCAATTGGGTTTAGGTCAGGGCTCTGGCTGGGCCAGTCAAGAATGGTCACAGAGTTGTTCCGAAGCCACTCCTTTGTTATTTTAGCTGTGTGCTTAGGGTCATTGTCTTGTTGGAAGGTGAACCTTCGGCCCAGTCTGAGGTCCAGAGCACTCTGGAAGAGGTTTTCTTCCAGGATATCTCTGTACTTGGCCACATTCATCTTTCCTTCAATTGCAACCAGTCGTCCTGTCCCTGCAGCTGAAAAACACCCCCATAGCATGATGGTGCCACCACCATGTTTCACTGTTGGGATTGTATTGGGCAGGTGATGAGCAGTGCCTGGTTTTCTCCACACATACCGCTTAGAATTAACGCCAAAAAGTTCAATCTTGGTCTCATCAGACCAGAGAATCTTATTTCTCATAGTCTGGGAGTCCTTCATGTGTTTTTTGGCAAACTCTATGCAGGCTTTCATATGTCTTGCACTGAGGAGAGGCTTCCGTCGGGCCACTCTGCCATAAAGCCCCGACTGGTGGAGGGCTGCAGTGATAGTTGACTTTGTGGAACTTTCTCCCATCTCCCTACTGCATCTCTGGAGCTCAGCCACAGTGATCTTTGGGTTCTTCTTTACCGCTCTCACCAAGGCTCTTCTTCCACGATTGCTCAGTTTGGCTGGACGGCCAGGTCTAGTAAGAGTTCTGGTCGTCCCAAACTTCTTCCATTAAGGATTATGGAGGCCACTGTGCTCTTAGGAACCTTGAGTGCTGCAGAAATTCTTTTGTAACCTTGGACAGATCTGTGCCTTGCCACAATTCTGTCTCTGAGCTCCTTGGGCAGTTCCTTCGACCTCATGATTCTCATTTGCTCTGACATGCACTGTGAGCTGTAAGGTCTTATATAGACAGGTGTGTGCCTTTCCTAATCAAGTCCAATCAGTTTAATTAAACACAGCTGGACTCCAATGAAGGAGTAGAACCATCTCAAGGAGGATCAGAAGAAATGGACAGCATGTGAGTTAAATATGAGTGTCTTTTTTTCTTCTGTTTTTCTTTTTTAATAAATTTGCAAAAATTTCTACATTTCTGTTTTTTTCTGTCAAGATGGGGTGCTGAGTGTACATTAATGAGAAATAAAATGAACTTTTTTGATTTTAGCAAATGGCTGCAATGAAACAAAGAGTGAAAAATTTAAAGGGGTCTGAATACTTTCCTTACCCACTGTATCTATCTATCTATCTATCTATCTATCTATCTATCTATCTATCTATCCAAGTTACAACAAAATATGATTTATTGTCTGCGGCGTCAATCCCACAGCAGCAGCAGCAGCAGCAGCGAGGCTGAGTTTCAGTCAGAAATGTATAAGGAGGAAATGGTTTCGGGTCTCGGGCCTTTCCAAAGGGACATACCTGATTGGTGCGTGAGCCTCATTCCAAAAACCAGTCTGGGGAGTTTACGAAGCCCTTTGTTTACATCTTACCTGCCTCCTGTTGTCCAAAGCGTTCCACCCGTATGAGCACTGTGGTTTGCTATGTTGCCCTTTTACCCGGCTGGTGTGCTTTGTCGTGTCTCTGTGCCTCAGCGGTAGGACGGCTGATATTATGTGACAGGCTTTTATGTTTCTGTGCGAGGGCTTTAATTATGTAAGGCCTTTTTTTTTTTTTTTTTTTATTTTTTATTTTTAACCAGCGGCCCTCTGCTCTCCCTCTCTGGATCATTAAAATCCTTTTTGCTTTCAGCGGCCAGCAGACAGCGACATTAGCAGAGCTCAGCTGTTAATGCAAATCAGTGGGTCGGCTTAATGTGATTAAAACTCTGATCTGAGAGCAGATATGTGTGTTTCTTTTAAAAACACATTTGCTAACTTTCCATGTGGCTACACTATAATGTACAATACAAGTGTTATTACATCCAAGAACGACCAGAAACGGATTTTCTTTCACCATCTAAGTAATTGAGTAATAATTTGGACTATGAGTAAATGAAACTGGTGAAAAGAATAATATGAATTTGATCTACAAAAAGCTTTTCATTTACAGAAAACCAATCGCAGACATCTCTGGTAATCAGTTGATGAATTGAAGGCCCAGTTGGTGGTTTTCTGTCGTTGTAATAGACAAAGCATTCAATGTATTTGGGTGTTTGGACCTCACCGTGCACTCTTTTCTCTTCACCCTTTCTCACCTTTATTTGACAAATCGATTAAACCAATAATAGTTGTCAGAATAATTCATAATAACAATAGTTTTTAGTTGCAGTCCTGTTTGGGCACCGGGGTCGAAACGTTAGTGTAATGTAAATGAAACATTATTCCAGTGTGTGCACATCTGGATGTTATTGGTTCAGTGTTCCCATTGTGCCTTGTGTTCACCAGCCTGTCGGGGCCTTCTGCTCTCCTGTATGTGTGGTGATGTCTACCTGATGACTTCCTGTTCCCGAACATGTACAGTATGTTGCTGGCCTAACCTGAACATATGATAACTAACTGATCTGTCTCTCTCCCTCCCGGGTCTGTGCTGTCCAGTGGGATCTGGTGTGTGGTCAGTACTGGCTGGTGCCAGTGGAGGAGGTGTGTTTCATCCTGGGCGTCCTGACTGGCTGTCTCGGCCTGGGCTTTGCCTCTGACAGGTAATACCCACACACACACACTCACACTCACACTCTTGCAGCCTGAAGACTGTCATCTGTAGAAAAGACAAAACATGCAAGGCCAGCAGAAGTTCTGTTAAAAGGTTACTTTGGGTCGATTTGGAAAGCTTGTTCCTCAATCTTCCGTCTCTTGTTCTTTATGTTGCAGATTCACTACCTCACGACCAAAATACACACAGACACGAACACTTACGCGCACACAAAATACAACGTTCAGACAGTAGATGGTGAAAGAATGTATCACAACAACCACTTTTCTACACATAAGTGTCTTTGGGCTGCTATAGAAACATGGTGGTGCAACTGTGATGAGGATCGGCTCCATTTGTAGATGTAAACGGCTCCTTCTAAGCTGTTTCAGATAATACACTAATGAAAACATGGTTATTAATATGATATTCCACGTCTGCCAATAAAACACCCTAAATACCACACACTGTTCCTTTGTAAGAAAACATCTTTGTTTGGCAAAGATCCCCGCAAAATGTATTTCAATAAAAATGAGAATAACGATGGGAAAATCATCATTATTCTCATACATCGTAAATCATATTGCAATGTCAGTTCAAATAATCACAATTACATATTTATTTCAAAATGGTTTCTGCACTACAAGCGATCACGGCAGAAAGGTTTTAATGTCCGAGAGTGTAAACCTCTTGAGCACATGAGCACGTTTTACTCTGCTAGAGCCGACGACCTCATGCTCGGCAGTCTGCATTAGGCACTACCCGAGCACATCCCATAATTGACGTAATGGATCCGGCCTGTGTTGTCAGATTGAAAATCACACAGGGGTAGTCGTGTGTGTGTGGGGTGTGGGGGGTGGGGGGGGGGGGGGGCGTGGGATGGATGATGCTAGTTTAATCGGCTAACAGCCTTCATTAATTTGCTGACCAATTGAGCGTAGCATCTGTTTGTTAAGGTGAGTGGATGAATGCTGCCTCCTGGGGAACACGGGAGAAAAGGGAACAGGGCTCATCCGCCCGTTCAAACAAAAGTGCTGCTCTGGCATTCAGCTGAAAAGTGTCTAATCATCACATTTAGTGATCAGCTATGCTCCACACTTGAGCTGATTTTTCATTCTCTATTTCTTTCTTTGTGAAAGTTTTAATACATGCAGGTAATGTCATATTTGAACAGGTTATCTGCACCTTAGAATTCATCTTAAAATGTAAATTCAATTTGACAAAAATCCGGCCTTAAAATTGTGTGAATTTAATGAAACATTTGATCTAGTTGCCACTTTGTCTGATTTATTTGTGAATTCCATGAAACTATGACTGTGGTAACAGTATTAATGGTTCTCTATTGTATCTTATCTCTTCTATTCACAGTGGACTGTTGTCCTATTTTCTGTTCCCAACCCTCTTGCTGTTAATATTTAAACATGTGAAACCGGTGTTTAGCATTTACTTCATCATCTATTGCTGTTGTTGGTTTTCATGTTTTTGTCTTGATTTGATTTTCTTTTAGATGATAAAATGACTGAAAATACTTTTAGAATAGTGAATCAACAATATCCCATTTTTATTTATCAATAACTTGTCGTCATTATTCATTTTATTTGCTGTCATAATACATGTGTAATGTGTCGTTCCGTAACGTAGCATATCTCTGTTTCCCTGCAGACTGGGCCGGTCCAAGACCCTGCTGACCTCTCTGACCCTGTCGGTGGTGTTCGGGGTGTTGGTGTGCGTCTCTCCGTACCCCTCCATCTTCATCGTCATGCGCTTCTGTTTGGCAGCAGCCAGCGGTGGTGTCTACCTCACGCTGTACATCACTCGTGAGTATTTCAAACGTCTGAAGGGACGCACCGCATCGAGTGGAAAGATCCGTTAAAGCGACAGAGTCTTTGACGTTGTGTTTTGACTCGGCAGGTCTGGAGCTGTGTGAGCCCTCTCTGAGGCTGGTGGTGACCATGCTGGCCGGGCTGACGACCGTAGCCGGAGAACTACTCCTACTGGCCGTCGCCCTGGGCTGCCAGTCCTGGAGGGGCCTGCTGGGAGCCGGCGCCGCCCCACTGACACTTTTCCTTTGTTATGGGTATGAGTGTGTGTGTGTGTGTGTGTTTGGTTGCACGTCCTCATTTGTTTCTAAGCCTCCGGTGATTCTCTTATTACATATTCAGCTTTATGGTTTTGATTCCCCACATTGTCTTTTGAGGTTTAGATATTCTTGTTGTCTGTGTGTCCGTACTGTCTCAAGTATGTACATTTGTTTTATTTTCCTGTGAAACTGCAGTGACGAGAGAGTGAAGGAAGCCGATAGTCTTTTGATAAAGTGCCGTGATGCCAACTGACTTGCTGGAAGATTTCTTGGATCGTATCGATTCCAATCCCCTCGTCACACTGAGCCTTTGAGTTCATGTCGGAATGCATCAGGACCACTTTGTTTCGGGTCCCCAGTCCCTCTTAAGACCTCTGTTAGAAGATAAGCCTTCGGGTTCAAAACCAAATTAACAGAGATTAAAGTTTGATGGATAGCAATGCATTGCGGTTTTGTAAGCAAAGCTGGATTAAGGAGTAAGGAATTCTTTGTGACGCACGTGTGTTATTTTCCAAATGTGTGTTTTGGTGCTCGGTAAAGGTCGGTAAAGATCAAAAGAGTGAGCCCGACTTGTGTTTGGTCTCCTCTGCAGCATTCCCGGGGTGTTTCCAGAGTCTCCTCGCTGGCTCCTTCTGTCGGAGAGATCAGCGGACATGAACTCCTTCACTGAGAGAAGAAACTCCAACAGAGATATGAGGGACGACGAGAGCTTCACAGGTGTGTGTGTGTGCAGAGTTTAGATTCTGAGGGGGCTTTCACACCAAAACGGGTTGCTTCGGTTACTGTGCTTACAGCCGACTTTGTGTACTTTGTCAGGTAATTAAGTCCCTTAAAAAGTGCGCGACAGCGGTCACACAGTTATACAACCTGAATCATTGTTGAGACGCCTCATGCACGCGTCCGTGCACTCCCCGACGTTCGCACCAGTTAAATGGCAACATGCAAAACGGTACAGGCCTGTCTCTCCCTGTTGCTCATTATTCATAACGTGCAGTCGATTTGCATTCTAATAATAGCTATTAATTCATATAATCAGTTACTCAAAGATGTACACATCCGTGTACTTGTGGGAACCAAATCAGAACTAAAATGCAACAATGTATCATGATGAACCCAACTACAGGTGTGAATGTGCTCGTATTCTCGCTCACACTGAGAGCAGCTCACGTTTTCCTGCATCCCTGTCGCGTTGAATGGATGTTCAGTTCATGAACGCGGCATTATTTATGAGTTGCTCAGCACATTTCAAAACACGAGTACCTATCTCACACCACTGCCAAGAGTAGGTAATGATGCTGAATTAAAATTCATGATTTATTAAAGACACGGCGTCATGATAAAGTGTGATGACCTGCACCTACAAACAGTTCATATGTAAACAGTTGTCCCAGGTAGTGACATCGTTTCTCTTGTCTAGTGAATCGTTTGCTCTTGTCTAGTGAATCGTTGCCCCCTTAAGTTAAAGTTGTTGACGTTGGCTTTACATCCTCTGTTTTTGAGGGTTCCATAGATCTCACCGCTATGTGTGTAAAAATAATAACAATTGCAAAATTCTATTCAAAAAACCATTCTTTTCTTCAAATGTGTTTTTTGCTTTTATTAAAATCTGTTACGGATACTTTAACAGAGTTCTATACTGATGACATACACATAGACAAAAACATAAATAAACAACTAAATGGCTAAAATACAAAGTGGTAAAGATTGTATATAGTGTTATAAATAATGTATTGTTTATATACTGTTAATAAAGGCTAAATTGGGAATTAATTTGTATTTGTGCAGGCCAGAGTATCAAACAACCTCTATTTGATTAAAAGTATTTGCAACAGCATTGATTTAACTCGAGTCCTCCTGTGAATACAGTTGACAGTGAGCTATTGATTGTAAATAGAATCCGGTCTTCATTCTCTGTGGCATTAAGCTGAACATTAAAACGCTTCTTTTGTCCCGTTCATCTGCTGCAGAGCTGGATTCAGAGCCGGCCCCCTCCTCACGCCCCCGCCTGTCCTACCCTGAGCTCTTCCACAGCAGGAACATCTGGAAGAACATGTGTGTGCTGGGCTTCACCTCGTAAGTCCTCCCACACTGTCGACACACTCTTGTTGCTGCTGCGGTCTCATATTTCCTCCTCAGTGTTTTGATTCTCACACGTTCTCACACTCTGAACCACTTCTCTATTTAAACCCGATCATAAACACGCGACTGCTCGATCTTTGTGTTTTCCTCCTTCAGATTCATCTCTCACGGCATCAGTCACTGTTACAGCTCTTTCCGAGGTGACGTCAGAGGCACGGCCCCGAGCTTCTATTGGACGTACCTGCTGTCTGTGTGCGCAGGGGGCGGGGCCTGGCTGTTGCTCTGGGCGACCGTAGACAGGTGCGGCCGCCGAGGCATCCTGCTCCTCTCCATGACGATGACGGGCCTGGCCTCTCTGATCCTCCTGGGACTCATGGAGTGTAAGCAGGCTTTAGCGGCAGGAGATTCTTCTCCTCAGGTCTATCTAGAGTCAGATGAAGAGAACTGGTTGTAGTCTTTGACAACAAGGTGGACACAGTCACCCTCCATCTCCCCTGTTGTTGTAGAGACATTAAGTGAGCCTCGTATGTATTAGCCTTCCTCAAATCCTGACTGGAATGAAAGTAAAAGTTAGTTTACTTGATGCTAAGCTCGGCTTTGCGTTCATATTAGATCATCTATACAGCACTGACATCCTGTTGGGCTCGTGCTTCATGCAAACCGGTCCGCTCTGTTAATGGAAAAACACATTCCAGGTGCCTTTTGTCTTTCCAGAGCCGGTTGTAGAAACACACTCACAGTTGCTTCGGTGTCAGTCGCCCCCTTGTGGATGAAAACGAGTATGACATTCAGTTAATTTAGGACACTGCAGCGGCAGCAAAGTCAAAACGGTGTCAGGCGCTGTGCTTTAATCATGCAACACAGGCTGAGGGATATGAATATTTTGAGTTCCACATTAGAAATCAGTTCATGATATATCATCAGAAACTGAAAAACTTCATCGAACTTGTTCTTCCTCCTCCTCCTTTAGACCTGAGTGAGACGGCCATCACTGTGTTCTCAGTGCTGGGTCTTTTCTCCTCCCAGGCCACCGCCTCCCTCTGCATCCTCTTCACCGCAGAGATCATGCCCACCGTCATCAGGTAACGCTAACACAGCGACGCGGATGTTAAAAGTTATAGAAGCCTTGCTTTATTTAGTTTAGTGAAAATATGTTGGTATTGTGTTAATGTTTTGTCTCTGTCAAAATGCTCCCGCTCAGCTCGTTAGTGCTGCCAAAATGAATCTGACCTGAGAAACACAGAACATTGCTAGAATAGTTCATGTTTTTAGCATGAAGTCTGGAAACAGGGAAACAGCTTTCCAAAAGGTAAAAACAGGTTTACACTTTTGTTTCGTTTGGACAAATCTGAAGTTGTGTGTGTCTACAGGGGCACCGCCGTGGGCTCCGTGCTGGCCCTGGGCTGCGTGGGCCGCCTCACCTCCCCGCTCATGGACCTGAGAAACCACTACGGCTACTTCCTGCACCACGTGGTCTACTCCTCTCTGGCCCTGCTGGCCGTGCTGTCCATCCTCCTGCTGCCCGAGAGCAAGAGGAAGCCGCTGCCCCAGACGCTGGCCGACGGGGAGCAGTACAGGCGCCCCCCGCTGGGCAGGAGGAGGCGGGACAATGTGCCGCTGCTGGCCACACCCAACCCAGAGACCTAAAAAAAAAAAAAAAAAAGACCCCCGAAAGAGTGAGACGGACTCCGCTCAAATCACCCACTTTTGCAGCCAGAACATTCACATCCATCGTGTTCATGCAGAGGAGGAGGAAGGCCGAGCAGACGACTGTGGACCATGAAGGATGGCGATGAACGCGATCAGACGGCGTTAGTTTCTTAACATATCATCCGTTAGTCATTCCAAACGCAGGCAGGTTGGGTCGAGCTTCCATTTCTCGTCACCATCCTCTGTTTCCTGCCACTGAGATGTGTGTGTAGACACACAACGCTCACAGATGCATGTAGGGAAGTCTTCATCATCGTCATCTCCTCCTGACCAGACGGCAGGTGATCCCCCGTCATGTGACACACCAGCATACTGCTGCACGCTGTCGCCCCCGCCACGCGTCTGTCGTAGAGATGTTAGCCGCTTACAACTCCAGACCGGTGGCTCCGAGAGTACTCGCAAATTATGCCAAGCGTTTGTCTTAACCTGCATAGAGCGGTTGTTGTTTTTTGTCGTGTTTGCTGTGTACGACAACAGCTAGAAGTGCAAAATCAAAGCAATGTCAGCTTTGTATACTTTTCCGTGACACTCGTGGTAAAAGTCTCCCATGTGGACCACAGTTCTCCAACGTTGTACGACTCGATGGAGTGTGGGTGCCGTGTAAATACTCTAGTGTCGGTTTCTTTAGCTTCTGGGGGCTGGAAACTGTTCAGTGCAGTACGCTGTGCAGCGGTGCAGAGCTCTGTCAAACATTCGTATTCAAGACGACGGTGGTTCTTTTCACCCAAATCTTAAAATGTAAGAGACAGTTTTAGGAGCGTAAATCAACCGACATCAATATTGGGATCAGAAGCTAAAAACAAAACAAATAAAAAGGTGTCCGTGTTCAAACTGTGTAAATCCAGTAAATTATTCTGGCCTGGAGCCAGCAATATTTATGTCTTATTTATGTTGTTATTAAGCATAATCGATAAATTATCCAGAGGCCTATCATTTTAAAGTATTAAGCTGAATATTGTTAAACAGGATTGAGATGAATCCGACTCTCTGATCCAGCAGTGAAGCTGTAAACTGTCACATGTTTGAAGGACTATTCTAATACCTCTCCAAATGACCAGTCTCAGATGTAAGAGAACAGACGGGTACAAACAAACTACAGCAGAACTTTAAATGGTGCCTTGTGTAACCAGGCACATCATTTGTATTTTTTTCTCAGCACTTAAATGTGGAAGTTTTGAAGGAGGTTTGTCTTGTCATGTTGCCTGAATGTTCATCGATGCTGGAGAACGGGCCCGGTGATTGTGCTCCACGAGGTTTCAGTGGGAGCTGAAGAGGGCCTCAGAAGCTCCAAACGAACCCCCAAATCCTCTACCGCGCACCAAAGGATGTGCTTCTTCTTCTTCATGGCTTCTTTATTTTGCGCTGGCTGATGCCTTGTTGCACATTGTTAAATCTCGACGGAGAATTACCAAAGCATGGCGGTTTCAGTGCTTCAAAAAAACCCATCCCGGTGTATTTTGATGGGTGCGTCGTGTTTAGAGGAAGCGGGACGTGTTTCATTTGGACTCTGGCGTCGAGGAGGAAGGACACTCACTTTAGCCGACGGCTTCGTCCTCCGTTAGTAGTTTATTCACTCTTTATGTTGCACTCAACCAGTCCTAACAAATATACACTGATACTTATTATCACTAGTAGTATTATGTCTGACAACACTGATGAGCTGTTCAATGAGTATGATGCAGTTAACTATATAGCCTGATTTAATGTCAAATATAACTGGTTAAATTAACGAGACTTGGGCTTTTTTTTTGTATGAATCATGTGAGCTGATGGTTTAGATGGGTGTCTGTATTTACTGTGTATTTGTGATGTCATATCAATATTTGACTGGTATTTATGATCTAGTATAAATGTTTTATGTATCACAAAAACTATATTTTTCATACTGTTGGTCCGGACCATTGTGTACACTTCCTTCCCAGGTTAGCTCCTCCTCCGTGTGGGGCCTTTAAAGGTTTCTTTATGTCCACTGAGACCTTGATTTGTTTTAAAATTTTGTTGACATTTTAGACATACTATACTAAAACTCTTTCCCGACATGCTATAGTATGACTTTTATGACATTTTTCAGAAGACTATTGTACATTTTGTCGACACACTAAAGTATGACTTTTCTGGATATATAAATTTGTTATGACTTGATTTTCATTATGTTGTTCCTCATGCTATACTTTGACTTTTTCGACATACTATACTTACACTTTTTCATTTATTTTTATGACACTATACTATGACTTTTTTCCGATAAATGATGACTCATGACTTTTATTTTTACATATATATTTTTTAAATTATGAGGTGCTTTACTCTACACAATAACCAGTAGCCTATTTGCCATACATGGTACAATTCTCTTGTCAAAAAAAACACTAAGCTCAACCAACTTGCATAAATGTTTCTCACGACGCTGCAGTTATTTTATATTAGATACTAAATCTACTCTTACTTCATATGTGCAATCAAATTCCAGCACATGAACACTTGCAAATGATCAGTAGTTATTTAAGAACATATCCCATAGATGGTTTGCAACAGGTCTGCACTGTAAAGGACTCATTTAGATGATTATTACAAAGTATCGTGGACAGAAAACCCTCATCGTAGCTTTCAAGCAGCTGATAACAGCAGTGCAAACACCTTCAGTCACAGCGTTCATGAGTGGAACTTATCAATGCATGTTATCAGTAGAGTGGAACTAATTACTACAACGGCTACAGTGTAGCTTTAAAACAGAAAGCTATTAAAATGACTGATTCATCTTCACAGATAACCCAAACTGTGAAGAATAGCAGTTGTATGAAGATCCAACATCTCATAGACCTCAACACTTTTGGCTGTACTGCACAATTTCAGATCATTTGATGACTTTTGTATTGCAAGTTAAATCATTTGTCAAATAAACCAGCTTCTAGAGGAAGGTTATGAAGTTTATTAGAAATACCAACTGGATTGGAATCATACAAAAACAGCACTGAGTGACTGTTTCAACACAGCAGATAAACAATGTATGCAGACAAATAATGACCCTAAATCTACGTGTGTGTAGCTGTGCGTCCATCTTTCTTCACAACAGTCCCAGTTTGTATTCCACCATCATGTGCGGCTCGCCCATCATCTCACTCTGGGCTGGATCTGCAGAATAAGAGCAGGTGGTTAGACGTCATATTCAGACAAGTTCTGCGAATGGTCGTGAGACGGTGGAGACGTTCTCACCGTTGAGGATGTCCTCAAAGCCGACGGACTCGTCATTGCCTCGCAGAATGTCCATAGCCAGGTTTGAACTCTGTAAGAATGGCAGGCGCTGGATCTGGAAGGAGGAGGGAGTAACGGAGAGAGAGAGAGAAGGGCGACTTAAAAACAATAAACAGGGAGAGGAGCCAAAGGAGGAACTGGGGAGGTGGATTACTGGGACGCGCAGCTCGTGTGTGTGTGTGTTTGTTACCTGTCTAGCTGCCCTGTACTCCATCTGCAGTTTCAGCGGAGCATGAAGGCCCTGGATGTTTCTGAGTGTAGAGAAGTTCATCTTGTCCTGGTTTGGCTGGTACTGCACACCACAGAAACACACAAATATATTGAAAGAAAGACACATTTCCACCATTAGACTTTCCCCTGTTCTTACTGCTACTGATCTGCTTGTTACTAATAAATCAAGGCCATCTGTTGTGTAGTTACGATCAAAGATATTCGGGCCCTGATCAGACCCATTTTAGGAGCGCCCTGACAGACTCAGGTTGAAAAAAACAACATTCAACAATATATTGAGTTGTTTTATACATATTTTTTAATAAAGGGAGCAGCTGTGTTGGTATAAGTTATTTTGAAGCTGCTAGTCCCACTACCACTCCAGCCAACACACCGTAACAATAAATGTTTCTTTACTGTCAGGAGAGGACCGAGGCTCTCAACTCTAAATATATCTTTATATAATAATAATAATAATAATAATAATAATAATATACTCCTCCCTGTAGGAATGTTCTCAGATTTACATTTGTTGTTGGCATTGACATAGTATAGTCAACAATAGGGAGTTATTCAAACATTTCTGCTGTTGCCGTTCAATAAAGACTTTGTTTACATCAGAATAATGAAGTAATAATTGATTATTTTTAAAATGAATTATCTTTTTTCCCCCCTCACAAAATAATCAAAAAGAACCGATAAGAGTATTGATAATGAACAGAACCGATAAGCAGTAACGATAGCAGTACTAGTATTGATAAAATCCTAACGATACTCATCCCTAGTGTTGGTTGATGTCAGTGCCATCTTGTTAGGTCGGGAAAACAGGTAATTGAAGAACATAAAATAGCACTGCTACTGAATTAGATCACGTTGGCCTAGCTGGCATACTGGCAACGCTGAAGGGGACACCTAAATGTAACCGAGCCATCGATAGTGTTACGAAATTCACCCGAGCTTACACCCACTACAACAAGTCAAAAAGGACCATAGCGTGCAGTTTTTAATGACTCTGTACACAACCACACAGTCCTGAGAAGACGTCTAATCTAAACCGCTCACAATTCACATTACTCACATTTCTCTCTGACAGCTCCAGCTGGTGGCTTGGAAGAAGCTCATTTTTTACGCTGGTAAAGCTGTGGAGCAAAAGAAACACATCGAAGAAGAAAATCAGCTTCATGTACATAATACATGTATATAATATATATCTATAATATCAAAAATATAACCTGACCAACAATGAATTTATGAAACTTATAACTATATAGACACGGATATTAATATCAAGAAACATGATTAGGAGGATATTTTACAGTAGAAAATCTTCTATCTGTGTGACAAACTGTAACGTTAATGTTTCTAGATTCTCAACATCGATACTGAAACTACATGCAATGGATAACCGGGTACAAAGGGCCCACAAGTATGATGTTTTATATTTGTTAAAAGCATCCACACACTGACGGATAAAATTATAACATTGTCGCAGTGTCTCACCCGCTCCGCAGAGTGTCCTGCACTCCATAAGCTCCCTGCGGACACAAGCCTGCCACAGGTACACTATCTTTCAGCTGAGAGCGAAGTCCTCGAGTGTTCTGTAACAAACAAATAAAGATACACATCCACCGTTAGCAACTGTTAATATTAAGCTCTCATACCTCAGTTACAAATATCAAAAGATAAAATCGTCTTCGGGCAGTAAGGAGCCTCATAGCTCAGCGCTAGCTAGCATTAGCTTGAATGACTAATCAAAATCACCGCTAATGTTGCGAGATTTCAGAGGATCCAGTGACACATGACAAAGATGCGAGGAGTTGGAATAAATATGTGTATAACTATGAAAACAATATCATGGTTACGATAGAATACATTATATAATATGAGATGAGATTAGACTGCAACAATACCATTTTGATTCCGTCTCTTCTACTTTCTTTTCGAAACACTTGAATATCCGGTTGGGTCGCGTTTTCATTGCGTCACATCCTGTAGAAACCGGTGTTGTGTACAATTTGCTATTTAAAAGCCCGTTGTATTATGCAGTGAAGCACTGTCTTCATAGCCGATTTGTTTTTATGTTTTTGATGTCTAACTATTCCAGTATATTCCAGTATACTTTAACCCAACTGGAAAGTAAATATCAATCAGCCACATTTAGCCACATTTAGCCAGATTTAGGACAAGGGGGTATAGCTCAGTGGTAGAGCATTTGACTGCAGATCAAGAGGTCCCCGGTTCAAATCCGGGTGCCCCCTCTTTTCTAGTTATAGCGACATAATAGTTTGTAAATAAGGATCTGATTAACTTTTCGACACGCTTTACAATATTGTTAATGCTTTATACAATATTTGTAATTTAACCCATACATGACATATGTTTGATAGAAACATTATTTCAAGTTTTGGAAAAATTGTGAAAAACTATGTAATAAGTAAAGTATTCCAAGTTCCACTTTGGCACAATATAAAATCTATTAAGACACAAGCCTTTTAAAGATGCAATTCTTCATTCAAAATAAAATGATTGCCAGAAAAGTAGAAACATACTGAAGTCACCAGTGAAATGTCCACCAGATCATTGTATTACAATTTTTTCCTGCATACTTTAACATTCAAAGCAAGAAAAATTGAACAGTCAATCATACATGATGGTCTCTACTAAATGTTCTAATGTTTTTGGAAAGTATGTCTCCTATTTCTTCAGATGCAGTTATTGTTTCACAGTAGATTTGATATGTTTGTCTGAAAACTGGATATGAGTAATTCAGTCTGCAAATATGTGGTTTGTAAATGTTTACATTTTCTGTCATCACAGGAACCCGCAGCGATGACCCACTCATCTACAGTACGTACGGCATTTAAAACCTCTTCCACTCCCCCCCCTATTTTGGAGCAAATCCGCCTAAAATGACATACCCAAATTAGAATGGCTGTAGCTTCTGAACCACTCTGACTATATGCATCAATGATGTCTTGCCAGAAAGAAAACTCCCTCAAGTTTCTTGTCAGAAAACCTGTAGGTCATACAGAAACAGAGCAGTGGACCTTTGAAGTCAGTACAAATTGAAGATTTTTGTCCTCCGAAAATAAAAAAGTATCTTTCAGTATAAATAACTGTCTGTGGCTGTATCTGTACAGGTAAAGGACAGTATATGGCTGTAACTACACTACCAATGAACACCTGCCTCAAATTTGAAGAAGATTGGACAAAGTATGACCATGGGGAGATCCAGGCGGAGCTCTAAAAAGAACATTTGGAGACCCAAATGGACACATGGTAACCAAATGCTATTCTGACACACTAAAGGTGTTTTTTCCTTTACATTTTGATATATTTCATCAATTGGAGCTAAAATACTCAAAAATTTACAATTTCCAACTTTTCAATTGATTTTTGATATTACCAATATGTATAACTGTGTAATAACCACTAATAACAATGCAAAATATAACTTTGACTCCAAGTGGAGCAGATTTATTGAGAACCATGAACATCAAACATCAAACATTTGGCAACAAAAAATATGCTACAAGCATCTCTACATATGTTTTTTTCATGACTTCTGTTGGTCATGCCACTGGATGAAACAGTTCCTTTTTGGAAGAAGGCAGAGGGGGGCGGTGCACTTCCTGCAAATCACAGGTGTCTTGTTCTTGCAAAGAACACATTGCCTTCGACCCTTTGTTGCATGTTCAGTGGGAAAGATGGGCCCACATGTTGCTGGTTGTGAAGGCTGAGAAGGCTTCTGCTTGGTCATTTCTCTGATAAGGAGCTCCCTAAACCTTTTGTGTGTCACGGGGGTCTCTCCTTTGTGAACTGTAAGTTCCTTGTAAATTATGTAGCTGTTCACCACAGCAATGTCCACCATGTGGTAGAACACTTTTTTGTACCACTTCATTGTTTTATGGAGAACACTGTAGTAGCCTATCAGTGCATCTGAAAGGTCCACTCCTCCCATGTAGGTATTATAGTCCTTCAGAGCATCTGGAATGGAGACATCAATTCTGCGGACAACTCCAGCATCATCCTTCAGGCTCCTAGTGGCACTGAGACCACTGAAAGCTTGGTGGAAGTTCGATGCCACAGTCACCAGTTTGGTGTCCATCCACTGGACAAACAGCAACTTCTCCACTCGTAGCCATCTGATGTCTCCCCGCTTGGCCCTCTTCCCCAGTTTGTTGTCTTTCGTGGCAGGGAAACCCCTACGGTTCTCTTGCATAGTCCCACAAGCCATTATTTTTTTTTGGTCCAAATCAGTCAGAAGCTTGGGACTGGTGTAGAAGTTGTCCATATATACCTGGTATCCTGTTCCCAACAGTGGAATTTCCAGAAGCCTCATCACAGCAGAGTAGCCCAGTCCATCTGTCAACGGTGTCGCTGTCTTCCCCTCATAAATGAAAAAATTCCACGTGTAGCCATGCATGTCGGCAAGCACAAACAGTTTTATTCCCCACTTTGTTGGTTTTAGTGGTAAATATTGTTTGAAACTTAGCCTTGCTTTTGTGGCTACCATCCTCTCATCTATGGCCAGCCTCTGGTCAGGATGATAGGATGATTTACAGGCTAACAAAATGTCATCGTAAAGTGGTTTGACTTTGAAAAGCCGGTCACACTGTGGAGTTCCCCATTTCTCTTCATTTTTTACATCCTCATCAGGGTCACTGAGGTGGAGACACCAGAAGATGACACAGAACCGATTTCGGCTCATGGCTGACACTGGAAAGCGGAAATTGTACGGCGGTACTTTCTTCCAATAGTCAGCTTTTGTAGGGCACCTCACCAGTCCACAGAAAATGATGATGGCCAAAAACGTGAAAAACTCGTCATTTGTTACGGGTCTCCATCTGAATTTTTTTCCTGCCGCCTTCAGTTTCTGTGCCATCTTATTCGTGTTTGTAACGATAATATGTACCGCAGTGACGTTGAAAAAAAGCTTGAACAGTTGGAAGGGTGACCACTTTACTTCTCGGCTGACAGTTGGGCCACTTGGATGACGAGGGCGAAAGTTGTGTGGGCGAGGCTGCGTGTCAGGGTTATCTGTCTCAAGCCATTTTAAAGTCTCCTCCACTTCCTCTTCACCTCTCCTTTGTGTAGTGGGGGTCTGTGCAGGCTGTGCTGATGTTGAGCTGGATGGGGTCGTTGACACACTTCTCCGACCTGTGCTCAGTGCGGGTGTGGTCAATGGCTTTCCTCTTTGTCTTGAATGTGTGAGCTTCGAGGGGGGTGCTGGAGGTGCAGGTCTTCTCTTTGTCCTGGATGGTAGTGGGGGAGGGACTGACGACGATGGCCCCGGTTGTTGACTGAGCCCAGGGGGTTCATCTGTGTCCTCCTCATCCAGACTGTTAGAAAAGTTTTAGAATGAGTTGGTATCACTACTGTAATAATAATTCTATTCACCAATTTGTAGCTCCATGCAAATATAAAAACTCCATGGGACAATGCAGTAGAATAACAGTAACAGTACAATAATAGCATGCAAAATACTTCTAGTCACAGATGAAACACATACCGTGACTTTCTTTTTTCTCTTGGTTGGATGGCAGCAGGAGAGGCCTGTGGAGGCTGCCAGTCCTCATCATCATCTTCCTCATCGACACTGAGAAAAAGAATAAACAAGATTATAATTACTTTATACAACGTCCAATAACAATACTTGTTTCAGCTAGACTGCTAGAAGACAAGTAATAACTACTGAAATGTGGTCAAATGAACAAAACATCCTGAACTCAAATACATACAATGGATAAATAGCACGTGGAAAAAGTATGTCTCTCCACCAGAAGCGACTATGTAGCACACGACACACAGCAGAATAGCATAACGATATATAAAACATGTGAAACATGAAATAAATATAGGGTAAACCAGCCGTGATATGAATAATCTTACTTGTCTATGACCGGATCAATCTGACGCACGAACAAATCCTCCTTGTCTGTGGCATAATCCAGGTCACTGTCAGAGGAATCCTGAAAACTCTTTTCGAGTGCTTCTTTGACGAAATACTTAGTTTTCCTTGTATTTTTAGCCATTGCAAATTGCAAAAACGAAGTATCTATGGTCGAAGACGTGGTCTGTGTGAGTAGCAAACTTGCTGTGCGTTAAAGCGCATGGCGGAGCATGCAGTTGGCTCGGTTACGCGTGACTGTATACGCCCCCAGGAAAGGTCAATTTGCATATGCAATACATCGTTAGAAAGCCTGAAGTCTCCTCTAGACGAAGGGCTTGACAAGCCTAAACGTATCGCTGGCTGTTACTAATGAAATGCAGTCAAACAAAAACAGAGCAAATCCACGTTTTCAGGGCACGGTAAAGGTAGCTCGGTCTCCTGGCTTCAATACATTACTGTCAGTGAACACACGACGCTTTGCCAGATGCTAACATAGTGCAGTATTGAAAACTGGCGTCATTATGATCGCCAAGGTCATTTTTAGACACGTTAGGTCCATAACTTTTGAACACAGGGAGAAATCGCCCCCCATCTTCCTGCAGCCATGTGCTCTCAATCGCCTCCAAAACACAACAGCAGGTTTAAGTCAAAATCAAATAGATTTATTATCCAAGAAGCATAAAAACAGATACAAACAGTTACAAACCGAATCACACTACTAATAACAAAACAAACATATAAATTCCATGAAATTGAGGCCCCGCGAGGAGGTCTGAATCTCTCCTGGATTCAAATCTCCTTTTCCCCCCAAAGTCTCTGAAAAGTCTCACATTACATACCGATCAGCTCAATGATTGGCTGAAGTCCAACAAGCCCCTCATGGGCCGGCCTTGATCCATTGTTTTGATCTTCACACCTCACCCAGCCGCTTTCACACAACCCCACCCCCCCCCTCCAGCACATTCCTCAAACCCCCCTCTTTCACTCAATGCATGAAATAACAACACTCCTTGATTCAAAACCTTTACAAGTAAATACACTGTATCACATAATATCCATAATTAGGAGCTTCAAAACTTAAATTCCTCACACACAGACACACCATATTGAATCATCAGAAAAAAAAACGCACGTGAAAAGTGAAAATTATGACCATGTTGTTTGACGGCTTATGAAAGAGAAATAATAGGTTTCTATTATAAGTACTTGCATTTTCGGAAGCCCCTAGTTCCATGGTAACATCCGCTAGTACAGGGGTCTTCAACGTTTTTCAGGCCAAGGACCCCCAAACTCATAGAGAGATGGAGCAGGGACCCCCGACTATATATATTGGATACAATTGTGTTTTATATTAAACTGGGCCTCGTGTCATGTATAAACATACCTCTTTATTGTGCATTCAATACTAAGCTATTCAAATAATACACGGGTTCATATATTCATGTTTTTATTTTAAACATGTGCAAGTGAGTAGGGTGGCCATGCCACTGCCATTTATAAACATACCTCGTCAACTGATACCAATGCCAATATCAACATTGCCTGTCAATTGCATGATAATCATGCACACAAGCTATTCAAATTGACGTTTTTATTTTAAACATAAATGTGGAAATGAAAAATGAGTGATGGCCTATTAGTGCCCCTGCCATGCATAAACATACCTGTTATCTTGCATACAATACTGAACTATTAAAATAATGGACAGATTCATGTTTGGAAAAAAAAAAAAAAAAAAAAAATTAAAATTGTCTAATCAACCAAACATTTCGCAGACCCCCTGCAGTACCTCCACGGACCCCCTAGGGGTCGCAGATCCCCTGCTGAAGACCTCTGCGCTAGTACATTCAATAGTAAAGTCGGGTCTGTACTGTATCGTTCACCGTCGTAATGCTGCAAGACCCGACTTGGAACGGTTATCTCGACTTTGGACAGTGTGTGTTTGGGCTCCTCTTGTGAAAAATCCATAAGAAATAAAAGAAAATGGATTTTTTCTTTGCAAAGATGACGATTTTGTGAATGCTGGGATACCAAACACGGCCATGTTTATTGACGTAGTTTGCATGAGCAAGCCGTAAGAACGGAAGGGGAGGGGATTGAGGATGCCGGCGTCCTCGAGGAGTTAAAGAGGTGTTAAGGACACAAGCCTTTTTGAAGATTCATTTTACACACATGATTGTATGAAAAGTCCAGGACACACGTTGATGCCTTTACTCAAATTTATCTTTTTATCTAAAAACATTCAAATGACACCCATGGGTCTTGCGATAAATACATTATGTGGGCGCCAGATGTCTCCAGTTGTAATCAGTTTGATCTCGTTAGATGTCACAGAGATTCAATAATAGATTTGTTTATTCTGTGTCAGGAGTTCATCTCACATACAGTCACTCTAATGACACGAAACAAAAATAATTATTTGAATAAAGTCTACTTAACTAATGCAATAACACACATCACCATAAGATAATCCCATTGATCATACTTTATTATTTCAAAAATGATTTGGAATAAATTTAAACAGCAGATTGCATTACAGCAAATACTTTAAAGCCACGAGTAGCAATTGTTGTGCTGCCATCACTACAGATGTTCACCTTTGCTTGGCTTAGAGGAGTGACTGCAGGCCAGACACATCCACTCCTGCAAGTACCTGCACAGGCAAAAGAGCAAACTATGTTACTAAATGATAAAGATACAACATTTTCTTGACCCCAGTTTGAATTAAAACCGGTCTATTCAACAGAAAGTCACAAAGGTTCGCTGTCTACTAGCTGACAGTGAGGAGTGGATCTTACTCCTCAAAGTTGATAGCGTTGGTCCAGGCCATCAGCTCATCCAGCTCCCGGTCCAGTATCTCATCATGTCCCCTCTCTTCAATGGCGTCCATCACTTCCTGGGCGGAATTGACCACTGGGTGAGTCTGCAGACGGCCCTGGTTGTACCTGTATGTAACAAAGAGAGGACAGACACACTTATACGCAAGACTGCACGCGACCCTGCCTCAGATGTGTATTTCCACATTTTGTAAAAGAACAAAGAGCATAAAAGGAGATTAAAATGTATGGAAGTTGTAAAGATGAACAGAAACAGACTACTTATTGCACTGGCAGACTTGTCATGTATTAACAAGAACAACAAAAAAATCAGTTAGAAATAATATTAATCCTTGAGTCACTCACTCAAACCAAAGACCCATAGGACAACATTGCTATCCCTACAGGATACAAACCTGTAAGGTCCCTTTGCAACATTTTTGACTATTTTCAAGGTATTTCTAGAATCCGAAAAAAAAAACTGCCCATCAATATAAAATAACTATTCCGTTTGGTGAATGATAAAAATGTTTTGTGAATCCATTTTCTGATCTAAACAAAGATAGAACCCAGAAATTGCACATGCCCTTAATTCATTTGTGCAGTAACTTGTACAGTTGTTTTTGTCTATCTATGTCATTTCTGGCAAAATGGATTAAAGCATCACAACCTTCAATATACCATCAAATTAGCAGTGTTTTGTAAATCGACCTAGGGTTTTCAAAGGGGAACAGGAATTTATCTTTCAGAAAAACTGATGCTTGTATACGTGACTGGAATTTCTTAATAAAACACAAGAGACACAAACTGAGGCTAGCATTTACTGTTATCCTGTATTCACCACTTGAGGCCCCAGCGGCAGTTGCACAGCAAAAGACTTGCTTTAAGCGACAGACACATATATGAAACTCACATCTGCTTTAGCCATTCAATTTTCCTCTTCTTCCGCCACTTGCCTACATCTTGCTGCCGCTGCAACATGGAATAGTGAAAATCCATTTTCTCTTTAGCCTCAATCTCTTTGGGCTCACTCATGGGAACCGCCTATCAGAGAGATGGAGGGGAAGCACATACAACTGACTTTAAAACATCTGCTTTTAGTGGCGGTCAAGATAATTCATATCTGGCTTTGTTTTCTGTTAAATAAACAGTTTGTGAGAGCATTATGTTTCATAAAGCTGAATTTCCACCAAACTATGATGAAGAAAAAAACTGCCATAAAATGCCTGTTGTAGCTGGATATATATTCTTAAAGACTGCGTCAGACTCTTGCCACAAAGGGCAAAATTACACCTTGTATTGGTAGTGCATATTTCTTTCTGCACCAATACTTGTACAAATAACGGGCAGAAGAGAACATTTACTCTGACAGGTTTTTCACCTTGCTACAGAAGAGCCTCCAGCTGTTGTTCTCCATGCGCTGGTACCTTCCCGATCGGTCCTCCTGCATCAGAGGCCAGCTGTTGTTGGTCTGCCGGGGCACAGGCTTCTTAAGGCCTGGCTGGGTGTAGGCCTTTGGGCTGCTGGCACACAAGTCTGTGATGGGTCGATGGGTGAAGATCTTATAATAGATGTTGGGAGGAAAGGTAATCTGAAGGCAAAGGCAAAAGGAAGATGTTAGGAGGTATGTGTGCATTATCATAATCACAAAGCTGTTGAGTGATTTACCGCTATCTCCCTAATTAGTTCCTACCCCTCCGAGTCGAAATCTTATGCGCACACCAGCAGCACCGTCCAGCAACTCAGCCTGCCACAGGAAAATCAAATCTCACCATTTATTTTATTTGTTGTTTTCATTTAACAGAGAGCATTATTTCCGTTACCTCTCGAGGATTGACAGTCTTTAGGATTGCTTGGGGATCCTGCTGGCTGCAATGACCGATAAGCTCTTTGAAATACTTGAAGACCTCTCTGGTCTACAGTTTGGGAAGAAAAAAAGAGTTTGAATTAATGCCTGTTGGCTTTCATTCGTGCATGTGCGCCCACAGCAGCAGCACCCACCACATGTCTTCTCCAGGTCTTCTGAATTATTGTGGCTGCTGTCTGCCGCAGTGTCTCCTGCTGCGGCTCCTGGGGACCCTCTTCCTGTAAGCTGGAGGAATATTGAGAAATGAGAAGAGAGAAAAGGATGAGGAGGGGAGAAGGCAGACAGTGCAGCAACATGTAACTTTACTAAAACGTTGATGTTTCTTGTGAGGAGCCCGGTTTTTCTGACTGCCGTTGGTGAAATGTAACCACATTTACTCAAGTACTGTATTCAAGTACAATCTGGAGGTGTGTACTCGTACTTTACCGAAGTATTTTCATCTTCTGCTACTTCATACTTCAACTCCACTATATTAGGGAAATAATATACTGCTTACACTGCATTTATTACCAATTATAGTGGTTATTATAATTATATGGTTGTTTTCTCACAAATTAAAATCACAGAACATGGTCATTTTAATAAAATTAGATCTATTGTTACAGATTAATCTACCCAACAGGATATAATGTAGTTCAAATTAGCTCCACCTCATCCGCTACAACATTAAAATGCTAATAAAAACTCTTATAAGACCCAAGAAATGTATTGACAAGATATGATATATGCATTACTGTTTGTTGTGATATATAATACAATAATGCATTTAATGTTAAATGGGTTCATATGCCACAGAGGTCCTTCGGTAATGATCGTTTTTCAGGGAATAAAACTCCAAGTGGCAATAACTGGAGAAATAGTTTAGAGAATAATTCTGTGAATTAATCTAGCTAACGTTAGCGAACGCTAAGACGTTGTAAAAAACTATAAAACCAAAAAGGTTACACACTGTATTTAATAACCTGATTCAATATATAGCTAGATTTAACAGTGTACCCTGACTAAAATGTTGCATTCACAGTCAAATACAAAAGAAAACAATAGCATTACCTCATAATGCGTCTGTACTTGAAGGTATGTCTTCAACTCGCTAACACGAGTTGACTCATGAGGTATTTCATGAGGTTACCTAGCAACCGAGTGTGTATGTCTGTTACTGCAATAAATCATTACATTTAATGGTATATTCCCCCAAAAAAAGTGATTGTTGACAGTCAAGTTTATCAAATACATGTTCATTCCCTTGTGCAAAAGTATGTTACACACCTTGTGATATTTATACAAACAGAGTGTCTATGAGAATAGTCAAAGAGCAGCTACACCTGGCAAAGTTGAATATGCTACTTAATTTAGCAATAGTTAGCTTGTCGAATGGCTAATAAGTACAGTAGTACAACAAGTGAAACGGTACATGTAGGGAGAAAGTTGTGGTGGCTGAATGGGTCAAATTCAGGACCTGACTGGAAGAAGCTGAGAAGATGTTTACACTTTTTCTGCCTTATGAAAATACTTGTTTTTCAAGGCATCCTCTCTGTCTATTACCACCACAAATGTGTGGCCCTTATTTTTAATCCAATCATCTGACATCAGGTAGTAATGTAAACAATACTCACCAAACGCTTTAGGAACAAACCAGGGCCAAACAAAAAAACCCCGGAGTGATTATTTAATAAAGAACAATTGGTTTATCAGCGTCTGAGAGGAAAACAGACCTGATTTATATTCAGCGCAGGTCAAGGTAAATAAATGACATTTTTACCTGTTGGCCATTAGATGGAGCTCTTTAATAAGTAACGGTGTAGCTTATATGGCTTCCCACCACTCTCACATTACACATGACACAGGCTGTGACTTTATGAGTATGTAATAACTGAATGTAGAAATCTAAATCTGAGAGAGTGTTACAGAGAGTAAAGAAACACTCAAAAGCATACATGTTGACATGCACACACACACACACACACACACACAAACCATGATCACGGTTTTGCAGTCTTTAATTCTCATTTTTACCATCAGTATTATTTTTTATGACAGTGAACTTGAATTGACAATCATTTCAAAGGGCTTGTTGTTGGAAATAAAAGAACACATGAGGTCATTTCTCATGGCACCAGCCCCTCAAAGGTCAATCCATTTGCAGTGTTTCTTGGCTATATAAAGTCTGGCGCTTCATGTCGTCAATGGATTAAATGTTATTAAGGCTAGTCACTAACTTGTCTCCAACCAACCATGTGTGCCAAACTGAATCAGCCCAGTTATAGCTGAATCCAGTCACATATACAAAAACAAATCAGCCGTGACAGTTTCAGACCAAACACTTTAAATCAAAGGGAAGGTGAATCCACAGTCAGAAACTCTCTTCTGAGCTGCTGGATTTGCAAAGGTAGCAACATTTTCGTGGCTCACAGATAACTCGGGAGAAAGTATTGTTTGTTCTCCAAAACTAATTGTGCTCGAAATTCTGAACCAAAACAGTTGCTGATAAGAATTGCCAACTAGACAGATGATGTCCATTATGCAAATGTCCAGTGTTTCCTCACCAAACCCTGCGGACACGTAACAAAACTCAGTCCGTGTCTCTTCAAAGCAGAATTCCGCCTCTTCTTTCAGTCTGTTTATTTTCTCCAGGGGGAACGCTCTGTCATCTTGACTCCTAACAAGGGCAGACATTTGCATCAGTCTGGTTCTCAGACTTCCAGCACATAGCGGACAATATTTTCCTGAAATATTACTTTTTTTACACAAGGTTAACTACATTTGGATTTAGAAGTGAAGCACTTTGAATTGCCTCGTTGTTGAAATGTGCTATACAAATAAACTTGCCTTGCCTTCTGAATATTTTGTAGACCTTTGGCTTGACTGGCTGGGTTTGACTGAATTTGTGTTCTGAAGGCGTTAGGGGGGAAAGGAGCTTTTGTCAGACAGTACAATACATTTCTGAGTGTGTGAGACAAATCGGTTTTATAAAAGTGAAATGAGTGTGAAATTAGATTGGCTTTGCATATTCGGCTTGCTGTTGATACAGCTGACATTTCTGTCCTGTCCCGTGTGATGAGAAAACACAGCTCTACTAATTTGTTGATAGCTTTGTATTTTACATCTATTAGTTTGTACTTTGGCTGCCAAGAGCAACAGCCAGCCACATCACAAACAATGTTGTGATCTGCACACACTGACTCCAATACCAGTGTTTCAATCTTCTCCATTGAAGGTTTGTAGCAGAATGAAAATGATCTCTGTATGTGTGGAATAAGAAATAGAGATTCTGATTGATTTACAGATGTCCTTGTCTTGGGTACAATTATGCTGCCCTTGACCTGTCCCTGGCACATCTACTGATGAGAACAGGAAGACATTCATATTCATACCATTGCAATGCGTGTCATCATTTTCATATAAACTCTGAATGTCAACTAGGTGTTCCATATTTAGACAGCCCGCGTGTTGCTGAATGATTTTCTCTCCTACTCGCTCCTCATCAGCCACATACTAGCTGTGCCATTTCCTCCTTTGATTGCTGATTGCTAGGAAACAATCTGTAAAATTGCTTTTACCTCAGGGCCCAGGAGGGACGACAGCGATGTTAATGATCTCCCTCAAATGGAGACGTTCTGCCTTTCCAGACCCTCATCGATGTGAGACCAACCCGAACACCATCAATCACTTCATGGAGCTCTTCATGCCTTAAATTGCAGGGGTTAGTATGAGACTAATGCACACGTGTAAAGTGTAAAGACATCTGTAAAAACATCAGTGTTACAAGAAGTACAAAATACTGGTTTGGATTTGTACAATGAGTTTTGACATTAAAACCCATGATGCACCCATTTACTCTGGCAGTATCCATCCATCATACATGCATCCATGCATCCATCTACTGACATGATGAATTAAACAGCATCAGTGCAATTATCTGGATGGAGTGAACTTAGTGTACGGACAGTCAGTGCCCGGATTCCCATCCAGAGCTATTTAAAGCCCCATACTTCTGCAGTCAAGCAGGTACATGGAAAGATTCTATCATATATAACAAATCATGATTATATAAATAATGATTTTAATTATTTCCACCTATACTGTATATACTATTTATACATACATATACCCACATTTGTATTTACATATCATCAAAATAATTTGCAAACATGTGGGTTTAAGGATAGAGGATGTTGCATGCTGTACAGCTTGTAAATCTACTTGAGTAAAATGTACTATTTGTGATTATGGGCTGTATAAGGGCTGGGATGGACTTGACATTAAATGACGGGCTACAATAGGCAGACTGCACAGGACACGCCTCCCAACAAACTGAGTCAGCTGTAACAACAAATGAAACTTACCAAATGAGCAGAGAGGTCAAAACTCCCTCAAAGTAATAAATAAACAAATGGTTGAAACATCCAGCTTCTTCTTCAAAAAGGTAACAGTATGAATTCAAGCTTCAGCAGACATTAAAAACGAATAGTATACATCCAACTAGCTTCACCGCTGTCTCCTCAGTCTGCTCATTTTCCTTCCTTTCCTTGTGTGTCTTTACCCTCCTAACTTCCTGGTCTTCTAGAGAGGTACAGCACTGTATGCCGTCAGTGGTCTGAGGCAACATGCAGCTTCCATTAATGTGTCTCACTTCATCTCAGGTTAAATAGAGTAACTGATTGAACACTAATTGGCCTTTTTTATTATTATTTCCCTTCTCTTTTCCCCTACAGGCTCTCAGAGGAGCCTGTCAATCTTTACCTACTGTATCTACACTTCCTCCATCTGTCTGTTTGCTCTCTGCCTCGCTGTTATCGGTCTCCTGTCTTTCACTTGCTGTCTGTATGCTTACTTCCCCTCTCTCTGTCTCTCTCTCAACCTCCTGGTGACCCAGTCACTCTGGTTTTCATCCCAGCTGTCAATTTGCTGTGCTGCTTTACAAAGAGATAAGCTCCTTGAGAATGGTGCCTGTCATCCCCTGATACTTGTACTTGTACAAAACCAAGCAGGAACGTGGTTAAAGTCACCTGAAAATTCTCAAGAGCATTTTTTTTCTAGTCTGAACTTGATTCTATCATATCATCATATGTTTGTCTGTAACAGGTCTTGCGACTAACTTCTGATAGCAAGTAGGCTACTGCCAAATACTACATTTGATAGTATTACTGTGACTGAAAGCGATCAGATTGAATGCAAAGTACATTTTACCCATCATGGTATTTGCGCGGATGTAACCTGTAAATGTTTTTACAGTCTGTTTATTTACCCTATACAGCCAGTGTAGTGTTTACCTAGGTTACAGTGTTAAGTAGGCCTAGCTAAAACAACACCGCCCTGCACAATTAAGCTACACAGAATATGGACAGAGAAATGTCTCAGCTTATTGGGCAGACTGATTAAAGATGCTATCTGCTGCATGATATCCTCCACTAAGAGCCAGAAGCTATAGGAGCAGAGGCTAATCTGACTTTAATTGCCGTCTCCTTTAAATGTATATTAAATGTATATACACATGTAATCACAGCTTGCACAACTGTTTCAAGAAGCTTGTAATCATGCTGGAAGTCTGTGTGTGCGTCTCCACATTCACCAGGTGGAGGTGTACGCAATCAATAGCTTTATTTTGTCCACGTCGATGCCGACAAGACAAGAGGCAAACAGTCAAACACGCGCACTTGCTTACTCGCACATGCACACAGACATCATCACAAACCACAAGAAGCCTGTCTGAGACTGCTGCCTCTTTGTCTCGTTATTATGATTAATTTAAGCAGAAGCCCAACAGGAATCGAGGCTTCGTTAGGCAAAGCCTTCCTGTTTTCCACCATGAATGTAATTGAACGTAAACAAATATTCGGCAGTAGACAAAGCGGCCTCGGAGGGTCTTCGTTACCACTTCCTACTAATAAATCATTATGTTTTTTTAGAATGACTCTCTGGGCCTTTTGGTTGTTAAATAAATGTGGCCAGCGAAATGTGACGTCTTGAATATTAAACTTGTATATATAATAATATATTCAACATTCGGTCAAAATAGCAGCTAAGTGTTGAGGTGAATGCATTGATTTGAGTTCAT